TCCTTCAACCAAATGAAAATTTATTCCACCGTTTTCTTGGCAAAATATGAAGTTTCTGAGATTTGACACTGTCATAATACTCAGCAACATTAGGTTTTATTCAGGAGATCAATTCAACATTAAAATTCATTGGTATAAATGATATGGAAACCATATTTCGGCCAGATCTTAGCCTAAACCAATTAAGTTATTAGCATGGCAACTGAGCTGGTCCTATAAAGGACAACTGATTAGAATTGCTTTCTTTCAGTCAGGAAACAATGTTGCTGTAATTATAAAACCAAAAGCCAGACTGAGTGGACATTTATGTTTTAATGCTAATGAATACAATAGGATCAATTAATAATTTTAATTAGCCCCAATTCACTTCACCTAAAGGCTTTGAAACCAGTCCATGAAACCGTGGAACCAATCTCATTTTTATAGAAATCCTTAATACCATTAGAGTTCTAATATTTCAACGTTTGTGCTTAACTCGAGAAAAAAGTCTTTTGTTTCGGCTATTTTTAAATGTTTATGTACTAATAGTCATTAATAGTTAATGTTAGTTAATGCTTCTTAAATTTAATGATTTGCATGACATCAATTATTCAGCTCTTTAAAGAAACCGAAAAATACCTTACATTTTCCATCAACAAATCTAAGAATTGTTAGCAGTTCTGGCATGCTGAAGTGTCAACTGTCATCTGTAAGGATAAGTGAATCAAAGCACCATGACCACTCACACAATTCAATCAATCATTTAGTCAGATCAAATCAGCATGGAAATGAATTCTGGTGGGATGTCACATATAGTGGTAAAATTAAATAATATGCCACCCGGAAAATTAATAAAACCAACTTTATTGCTTTGGTTTCTACCTTGCAATCGTTGGCAAACTCCTTGTAAATTACCCTGTTCTTCTATGTTCTTAAAAGCTTTCATGTGACTAAAAACAATAGGTGTTAGTTATATGTGGAAACTGGAAACTGCTGCAGCTCCAACGGCTGTTTATTCCCTTCCAATCGACGCATATGAATACTTCATATGCGTTTTGCATCAAAATTTTCGCGTATTTCTGCAAACTGCACTTTTACCGACGAATTGGATCAACTAAATAATGCATAACTTTAAAGCCACCAGTTGGGAATAATGCATATCACAACTCTGACAGAGAGACAGACAGACAGTAGTTGCGTAGGTACAAATTTAAATTTCCTCTGCCCTGTGTATTTGCCCCTGGACGCTGAAACTGGCTGAATAATTAAACTACTTGCATGCAAGCGTGCATGAGAGGTAAATATACATATATAAATATATATAGGAGAGGTACAACAACAGGGTTGTGGGGGGGGGTGTTGGATGGAGGTGCGGGCAAGACCACATTGGCAGCATCGTTGTGATAGCATACACACGCGCATTTATTCATAAACACAGGGAGAAGGAGGCGTAATTGGTTAGTTCGCTTTTTATGGAAGACATTTTTTGTGGGCGGGGGGGGGGGCGTAGAGAGGGTAGTGATGTAGAGTAGAAATAAGGTCTATCAAGGGCGTTGAACCACCAGTGTTGAGAGTTCAGTTATTTGCATTAGAGATTAAGAAAGTGGTGAGGTCACTTTGCCCAACCTTCCAGTTGGATCTCTCGCTCTCTCGCTCTCTCTCTCTCCCTCTGTGTGTGGTAAGAACATGGAACAAAAATTCGAGGTGATAATAAGATGGGGGCTCTTGTACGAGATCTAAAATGGTAATAAAAAATAAATTTAAAGTAAAAGACTACGAAGAAAAATATAAACCACATTTCACATTTCAATGAAAGAGACGGAATTAACTTGATAGGCGAATATTTATTGAGTTAAAGTTCATCACCCTTCCAAAGAACTGGACGTGCAATTTGAATACCTGCAATTTTGGGAGATAAGTATTTTTAAACCGGGTATTATTTGTAGGGCTCAGCAATTGTCTTTCTACTGAACTACTTAAATACTTCCTATCATGAAAGCATAGTGACTTTTTAATGGATGACAAGCTAATCACATGGACTAAAAAAAGTATTTGCTGTTTACAAGAATTAAGGGCAAAAGTTTATTATCTGCACAAATCTTAGTTTATCCTGACTAATCGGGCCTTGTCTGTGATGATAATGACAGCTTTACCACCGTAACTCTTGAAATATATTAAAACTTATGCGCGACACATCTCATAAATACGCCAACATTTACCCTTCCCCCCCACCAAGCACATTCCAAGACCACATGTCGACTTTGTCAAATATCGCTAGCCATTTAGGAATAAAGAACAAAATAAGTAGCGTTGGATTTAAGAGATTCCTCATCTTTAAGGTTCCTCTTCTCACCTCTTTGAGAAAAATCTCATTGAAGTCCCAAAACATCATATTTTTATTCCTTTTGAAGATCCTCAAGTAAAAATTCAAACGTATCTCGATAAGGATGACTAAATTTTACACTTAAACATATAGTAATTCTCTTCAGACGATAGATAACCTAAGAAAAAGAATGTAAATGATTTAGAATGGATTGCTCAAACGTGGAGGTACAGAAATTAGGGTGTCTGTTGAAGTGGAATTAATCCAGGCAGTGGAAAAATGAACTATATTAACAGACTGCGCAGTGGATATTGTCGCCGGGCATTAGACAAAATCACATTCTCTCCCTTGCTTGCAAGCACTTCAACTTGGAGCTCGATCACTACCAGCCAACTCAAGTAGGCACACGCAAGCTCAATGACCAATTAGTTGTTTTCATTAATGAATCCGAGTCCTACTCTAAGCTAGCGGTTCAAATTTTAGGAAATATTGGCGAGTAGTTGCCAAACTCAAATAATTAAAAATTATTTCAAACCAATAATTACGTTCACACATTTTAATTCTCAGGCATTAAAACAAGGAAGATACTATTATAGTTCGTTTGGTAAATTTCAAGGCAAATGGTCCAAACTCATAGGAAATGAGAGGAAGTATTTTGGGCCAGATTTATTTTATGACAGGAATAGCTTAGAGCGCCGAAGAAAAAGAAAAATTTCAGTCCAAAAACCAAGTGATCGTAGAAAATGGAATAAGTTTCCAGAAAATTTCGAAAGTACGTTGATTTGTGGACACCTGTTTTCAGAACACTATTGAAGTATAAGTAGATAATATACTAACATGCTCAATTTATAATCTTTTCTCCTTCTGAAACTTGTGTATTGATGATGATGAAGATGCTGATTCAGAAATCGATTTCGAGATAATTTTCATTACTGCAGAATAGATAAGTCCGATAAAGTTGTTAAATAAACCGGTAACAAACGAACACCTTCCACTTCGACTGTGAGTGCCTTTTATGTGAATTTCACGACTAAAGAGTAACAAATAAAATGACATTAATGAAAGCTTGCAGAATTCACTTAAAATCTAACATCTAAATAATATGTTGAGGTACTTTTAATACCCTTCAAGTGTAAACGTTGATTTGATTCAAAATGATATTTCAAGACTTTAGATTAAAGCCAGTGTTGGAAGCAGTCAAAAAATTTGTTTGATTTGTGTTTACAATTTCGTATGATTAATATATTACAATAATAAATTAAAATAACACTAATTCACAAATGCGAATCAATTTATATTAAATATGGCGATGTTTTCCCCTTTTCACACTTTCTTCTAACAATTTACCAACTTGGAAATATTCACTTTCAAAATAAACGACGTTAAAGTTCAAAATTAAGAATATGAGCAAGTTTAATTTGTTTCGCACTCCGAGATAACGCGACGAGGAATATCAGGCACAATGATTAAAACGTTTTATTTACTGATGTGCTCTGTTTAAATAAAGCGACTGCCAAACACGCGCTTAGTTTGATGTGTGACTTTTTTACTTCAATTACATTTGAATTAAAAAAATCACAGTAATCGCCTACCATGTATTAATAGGCAGAGTTCCAAACGTCTGCATTTTCTGGTCGGTCGAATCACACCATGAGTATAGAGCTGGTGGGGTTGCCTTGGAGTCGTGATAGTGATTGGTCTGTCGGAAGTAGGCCTCGGGACAACCTTCATTAACGAGGCACAAGGAGAGTGGGGGACACTCATTCTCAATTGGTGGATCATAGAAGGAGTTCATTCGAAACTGTCCAGGTGAAGCCATGAAGGTATCTGCAATGTAATGAAGCAATATCATAAACACGTCAATGTATTATCAATTTCAAACGAATTTATTTTGGTAAAGGTGAGATATATTCTTTTAAATAGGCCTATCATTTTGAAATTTCATCCAAGTAATCAATTAAGATAGCTTACACAAAGATGTCAAAGGGAAGAGACGAAAATCGATTTAATCAATATTAAGGTAATATCACTATATAATTAGCATTAATATAATACAATAATTTGTCATACGATAATGGTTCAAATCATGCTATTTGAAACGTGAAACTTTTAACAATTACAAATTGAATTATACCTTGCACGAGAAAGTGTACAGCACAAAGATCATATATCCTGACTGTAGCCGATCATAGTTTCCATCCTCTACGGAGCTATCACTAAGAGCAATATTAGTATCAGTTTATAAGTCTGCTTGACAACACCACATCAAATAAGGAAAACTAATAAAAGAACGTTATCTGATGCAACATTATTAGTGATTTTGCTTTATTTTGCTCGACCTTAGAAAACATACTCAATTATTTATAGCTCAAAAAAGGTACTACTCAATCTACTAATATGATGTGGTAATGAAATATCGATTACCATTAATGGCAAAATGTGATCCGAAGATGGCAGACATACGTAGCTTTCGCAACTAAAGTTAGTGAATGGCGCCAGGGTCGATTGCGTACATGCGATAGTAATATTCATTTTTACATTCTTAGCATTATGACAAATAAAAAACTAACAAATCATCACTCAAATTTTGCAGTCTCAACTTCTAGCCTCTAAGGCGACATCCCTAGGTTTGTTAAAAATTAGCATTTCTACCGTTTGGAGGAATCCTCAAATTTCTTGCAGAACTCTCTCTACAAAACTACAAAAGTTTTGTTTCAGTAAGCTTACCCTCAGAAGGCGGGCATTGCAGTGGACTGTCTTTCTCAAGAACATACGACGCTGAGCCCAAGTTAGTCATGTAGTCTGAAGCATTAGTAAATCCAATGGGCGTTGAGTGATCAGGGATTTGATTGCTCCCAGCCATGTGATAGTTTAGGCCGTTAGTAACGTTCAGTTGTCTGGCTTTATTTCTAGCTGAAGAAGAAGCGAAACAGCAGTAGCCCTTCGATCGACGATCCTTTGACATGAAGTAGATGGCAATCACCAGAATCACGAACGCTATGGAGACGGCGAAGGTGATGATAACGATCAAGTAGATGTTGTTTAGTACATCACCACCCTCATCGTGTCCGCTAGAATCCCCAGGAGAAGTGGCAGGAAGAGTGGGATCCAGGACAATCTGAAGACTTAGTGTAGAAGAGAGTGGTGGGCTTCCACCATCAGTGGCTTGCACTTTGAGATGATGACTACTCTGTTTTACAATAAACAACAAAAACGCATTAAATATATAATATACACTATTTCAAAAGTGAATTGCACCTTATTATACATGTCTCATTGGTAGATACTTTAAATCTTAGCTAAAAGATATACTCTTCATAAAGCGTGCACTAAAAACAAACACTTTTGTACCGAGATGTTTCCATCTAGTGATAGGGAAGGATATAGTACCCATACTAATAAATATCCACTGGAAGATGAGCATTTGAAAGAAATTATCAGACCTATCAAAAAGCGGTTAACAGACGCATTTTGCACTTTGAAGTAAGGGAAGGCGGCAAATGGTTAGGTATTCGATGTCTCGAATGATATTGCTCGAGACTTCCATGTAGTACTTTATGTAATATTGGCACTTAAGTTTGTGCCTAGATCAAAATTTTGCCCTTGCCTTCACTGTTGGTAGGGTAGTATGATTATATCTCTTTGAATTTGTTTGTAGCTTCTAATGCACTTGCGATTTTTTTTCATTAAGTTCAGGTATAGTTGGAAGCGCTCAGAATAACGAATGATAATTTTTTTCGTACTGATTGGCAATTTCGATAGTGACAACCAGATGATCTAACAGAGCGGATAAAAGGGTCACATAATTTCAAAAAATAAAAAAACGGGTTATTGGTATTGTCATTGAAAATGCCAATGCAAAGAGTCATGAGAGATACATGAATACATGGGACTGTAAATGGAATTAATGAAATGAGAAATTGGAGACTGGGTCATGAGGCTAGGGTCAGAAAAATTGTTTATTATTTTAAATTCATTAGAATTAATTAATTAATTAGAATTAATATGAGACGTTTAGTTCAATGAACAATAGTTCAATTTCCAATTTCATAGTTAAGAAGCTGTTCGCGACGTTCACACACCCCCCCCCCCCCCCCCCCCCCCCCCACCCTAATCAGACGATTAAACACGTAGTTGATCTTGCAATTATGATTTATTTACTACCTTTTAATGCTAAGACTAGGTGATTGAGAATAATATTAATAACAGTGAAATAAATTGACCTTAGAGTAATAAATAGGAATTCGGATTTGAAAGATCAAATAAAGGCCATATTTAAAGGCAGGCAACCTTACAAAGTCAGACTTAAATTGAATTTTAATTCATCGATTTTCCTAATCATTGTTAACATTTCCTAAATCATTGACAAAATGCCTTACTACCTTCCTTCTTGCTAAGCAGCAGAAATAAGGGAAACAATGAATCAAATGATGGATTAAGAAAATTGTGTTAAAGGATATTAAGGCAAAGTAACATAAATGTATGTGAATTTTAGATTATTAACTCAATGTGTGATTAGGTGAAGTATGGTTCGAAATTGCTGATCTAGTTGGTGAAGGCTCACTGAGCGATTGATGAATTAACTGTTTTGAACTTCTAAAGATCCAGGAGAAATTTGTAGTACTTTGTTTTAATCCACATTTTACATTTGAATTGAGATGCGCTTTCATAGTTAAAAGTTGTAATGCTGCTTTGTGCCATGGTTCGTCTTAAGTAAAGTGTCATATGAATGCAGAACATATTTAAGAGAATTTAAATACATAAATTGATTCAAGTGGATTTTTTAATGAAAAAATTAGCTCATCATGAAGTAACGATTGTGAATTACAATGACGCATTAGGCATTTTATTTTGCAAGCAATCCATTAGGCTGACAAATTTAACCCATTTTCAGATCTCGGAAGTTAAATTACATATAGGGTGCTATAAATGATGGGTCCCAATTCTAGGTTAGGATAGGAACATGATGTCAAATTGTTTTTTTAATGATAATACGCCCAAAATCTTATCCAATGGCTGATTGAGTCTCCAAAAGATATAGGTTGGGAAATTTGTTTTCTCCTTAACTAGCGTAATGATTTTAAAAAGGTATCCAGCAGATAAAAGATACACACCTGTGGATAAAAGTTTTGTTTAGTTTTATTTTATTATAGTTATGATTAATCATTTTGGTTATCGATGTCTGTAATATGAAATAAGAATGGCTCTGACTCCTCACATATCTATGAGAAAAATATTGGTTTTTTTGAAAATATTGATGAATTAAACCATTAATATATAAAAAAGAGATTGTAAGCTTGTTTTCGAGAATCTCTGGAATATTAATTTATACAATATGTTTGCACAACAAAAAGGCACACGAGGAAATACTTTCTCATTAAGGTTTCTCTGTGAATAAACTGGAGTGAATGAATTTTACGCACGTGGGTATTGTTAATGACAATGCACTAAATGCACTTTCTCCAATAACGTGATAGCATCTGTATAACAAAAGGGGGAACGAAAGCCTCAAGCCATGAATGAAAAGTGATACTTGAATAAGAGGAGATAGCGAAGTCAGGTTATCAAAATCTTCGCATCATTTTAATTCTGAGAACCGTCTTTTTTCTTGTTCTTTCTCTCTCTCTCTCTCTCTCTTTCTCTCTTTTTACAGATATAGTAATATTTCCATATTCAACTATTTCTAAGCTCTATTGTCTTGCATTGATCTCCTGGAAGTCTAGGATGGTCCATGTTCACGATATTTGGAACATTTTAGCACGTTGTTTCAGTCGCGCATGTTGAGTTACTATTTTAATTTATCAACAGCTAATCACGTCTATTGACCAAGAATCGAGACTTGTAAAATAGTCTAAACACAACGGAGCCTAAATATATGTGAATGGGGGAGAAGTTTGGCTTTTCATATTGCCAAGTTTTATAATGAGGAAGGCTTCAACCAGTTTGCTTTTATTATTTTATTATATTCATACTTGGAATCTTTTTATTAATCATTTGATAAAGCAGTTGGCTGCATTAAAAGCCGTATTCCCATATGTGTGCGCATAAAACAATAGTAAAGTTAATTGGGCTTGCAGAACGATGTTCATACACCGGTTACTTAAGAATCGAGGGGTTTTGATTAAGGAAGACACTACCATTTAATTAATTTTTTGTTAATAATTACCCATTTCTTCCGTCAATGTAACTACACCTTTTAAAGAAACACGAAGCACTAAAATTGTCCTTTGTAATCGCGAACAGGAATAATTTAATTTAATTGAATTTTTATATTGAAATATTTCACCATTGATTTTATAAAAGAAAATAGTTTTAATTTTAGAACAATATAGCCAACTAAGATGCATTTGTTATTGGGGTTTGATTATCTCTAACTTGACCAAATAAATATCAAATAGAAAATGAATGAAAGAAACTTTCCACAACGTCATACTTGATGTGCTCAATAATAATTGCTGCGATATTTAAAATGCAATTAAATAAATAAACAAGCGATTAGCAGGAGAAGCGAATCTTGTACTTTTAATGTTCGAATGGGAAAAGAACTAAAACTATTTTGAGAGGACTTTAACTAAAATGCCATTAAACAAGGGTAAATATGACCATGAAAACAATGAAACACGCATAACACTGATTGGAATATGTCATCGATCGGTTAGCCGCTTATCTGTAGAGCATGACTTCCTGTGTGGTCTTTAGGAGAAAATCGATACGACCCAACGCAAGTGAGCGGATGTAGCACGCTTTGGTTAACTTGAGACTAACATTTTCGCCGTAAAAAGTGAGTTTATTTCAAGGAGTTATGTATATAACTATATTTACTGATGAAGAAATCCAACAAATAGCGAGTAGGAGAAAGGTGTTGCCACCAACTTAGAAAGACCACCAAAATTGAGCAAAATTATAATTTTATAATTTAACTAATTCCTTCAAAATAAAAATGAGTTGCGCGTCTTTAAGTAGGTAAGTCACGTTATAATTAAGGCTCTAAACTGGTAGTGGAAAAGGAGAGGCTCGAATATATTTTTTGGTGGGGATTCTGCATGCAATTTTTGAATTTATAGTTGATGTGATTTCAGGAAGAGGAGGATGAAGGTGGGGGGGAGGGGGACTGCCGGTGTAAAGGAAATGAAAAGAAGGAGCAAGCAGTGACATTCCTTAGCAGTAACATTAACTTGCCCCTTTCGAAGTAGGTAACTTGGCAGCAATAAATAATTCTCCACTGTCTTCGGAGAGGTGAAATAGTTTTTCTGTGCCCATCGGCAATCGAGAATTCTCCAGGAGGGAATACCGTATCTTGGCATTCGTCCCTGTGTCTGCGTCCTTTGCCTGCAGCTTTGCTATTCGATGACCGATCGGTTCTAAAGCTGATAGTTTTATCTAAAAGTAGGAAAAAACAGTGAATGGTAGAAAATAAGTATAAACTAATTATAAGTAAATTACGCAATGCCTAAGAAGGAAAAAAAGAATAAAAAATAACAAAGTTGCTGGAAGGAAATCGTTTGATTAATTTAGAGGCTTTGAAGATGCGTGAGACTTAGATTATTTCAATGATTCTTTTTGTTAAATATATTGAATTTTCCATAAAGATAATATTGATCAAATTTTGCCAAACCGTCTTCCAATGACAACTAACTTTGGGTATTTGAGAAATATCACCATCGAGGGCAAAACTTTGATTTCTAAATCAACACAATGGAGTAGTTTTCAATTAATTATCAAAAAACATGAAAGCCCCAAGAAAACGTCAAAAATCAATAAATTAAGTATTTCAAGCCAAAAGATCAAGCCGATGAAGCCGTTCAAAAATCGTGATCTTAAGACCTTTTTCATGCATTAAAAACTAATAAATTCCAACCAAGTGTTGTTGCTGTTGATATGGCCTATTGTTTGTAGGTTTCAAATAAATCATGTCCTATCTACCACGCTGATTAGCAAGGTTATTCAGCAAACGACAAAATGTGATAATTTTGCTTTGATTGAATTCGCTGTTTCAACTGATTTCAAGGGATTAAGACTTCAACGTTGGTAACCTGTCCTAAAACTTACTCACATTCTCATAAATGTCATAGTCAAAAGCAGAATTGTGTCAACACCATTTAATCTTACCGATGCCAATACAAGATGCAAAAACACCTTTTTCCAGCGCAGTTACTACAAGGCAAGAATGAATCGGAAGCGATAGTCGAACAGGGAGGTAGCACAGAAGATAAGTGCCCCACTTGAGGCATTAAAGCTGGAAATGTGACCACATTGGAGAACAAAGCTTTTAGAATAAAGGATTTACTACTGAATTCTCCACAGACGAGTGAAGATAGGACAACAGACAGGGTAAAAATTGATAAGTAATTCACAGCATGAGAAACTTCTGATTAAATGAACTCTTTACGATTACTAACAAATTGCTATGCAATACTTTAAATCAGACATAGCTGTAGTAAGGTGAACAGCTAAATAATGCAAAATATTATGGAACCGGGAGCTGATCAATAAATGCAAACACAAATAAAGGTGAATATAAAATGAAGGTGAATGACTTCCTCAGTCAAATGGCTCTATTACCAAGGTAATAATAGTCTGTTTACCGGGTTAAACACAAGGGATAATGGTGAAAATGCGGTTTAGAATAATATTCATGTGAATTCAAAGAGTCCCGAAATAACGACTGTCCAATATATTAAATTATTTTAGATTTCGTTTCCAAAGGGCCGAAAAACTGAATACCAATACTGTATTACGAGGACTCGCCTTGAATGAAATTGAATGAATCGTGTCATTGGGAGAAAATTTTTCAGCTTTAACGATCTTCCATTTTAAATCTTACCTAAGTTTCAATTTCAATCGTTTCATAACTGCTCTGCTTTCTCATTGTTAAAATTTAGTTTTTTCTCAGTATATTAGTCATGAGATTACAAGAATTGAAATGAAAAAAAGTTTCATTAAAAAAAGAGCCATCAATAACTTACTTTTGGAATAGCATCAGATGATGTGTTTAAACGCGGGAATATGAAGACGGGCGCATGATCATTAATATCTGTGATTGTGACCCTCACTTGAGTTGTCGAATTCAAAGATTTCTCAAATTGTTGAGTTGGTAAATCTTTAGCCATTACAGAAAGCAGGTACGTTGATTTCACCTCTCTGTCCAACTTTCGAACTGCATATATCGTTCCGTTTTGGGAAATCTAGTAAAGGATAAATTGTTGTGACACAAATATTGAATGAAAAAAAATTCTTGTCGTAAATTCCGTAATGGAATTGAAACGACGATAATAATTTCAGTGAAACATAACTTGATAGTTGAAAATTGAAAAATTAAAAATTACTCCTTTTATCAGAAGGGAAGTTTTAAGCAAAACTAAGAAGATTAACTTTTGACTACACTTATTACCATTTTTATTAATTCAAATTTAAGAGCGGAGCATAAATATTACTTATTTTTTTGGCAACATACCTCGAAAGGCGAGTCCGGTTCTTCAATTAAATACTGAATTTCCGCGTTGGGTCCGATGTCTTGATCAAATGCTTGAACAGATCCCACCTCTCTGACTGTTCGCCTATATGCCTCTTGATCCTCTTCAATTGAGAAGTGGTAATTTTGAAAAGCGAATTTGGGAGAGCAGTCATTTTCGTCTTCAATTTCTATGGTCACTTCTGCTGTAGTTCTGAATGAGGGTTTGCCTCTATCTTCCGCCACTACCTAAAAGAAGCATTAAAATACCGTTTAACATCAATACTAATCTTTTGTGCTGGTTTCATTTTCAAAATACAATGATAATATTTATGAAATCCATAATAGTTTTTTTAATTGCGAAATTAAGGTATTCAAAAATGATAGGACAGGGCTTTGGTAACAATTTGCAGATCGGAATAATAAAGTGAATTTGAATTTGTCCATTTGTTCACCTTGGACGAATTCAAATGAGCACTGCTTTGTCAAAATTTTATTAATCTTATCCATCCACTACAAATTGATGGAGGTGGTATGACTGGCCACTGAACCCAATCAAACGGTGTCCAAGTTTAAAAAAAAACATTATCAGCATAATCTTAGCCACGAATTTGAAAGTCAGTTAAAGAAATTTGGCCATACTCTCATTCACAACTTATTCTCTTGTAGTTCGCATTTTCCACTTATTCAATTCCTTTCTAGTGAATAAATCTTGTAAAATGTCATTCGTACTGTTACGTACTGTTATGGATATTTTGAATTTATTATTTTTACTAAAGAAAATGGATAAATTATGAGAATTTCTTTCTTTCCATTGAAATTGAACTGAAACTTAGGTCTGTTGAAGAAAAAGCCGGTATCTAAGTATTTTTTTCCAATAATTTTCTGAGTCAAGATATATGGGAATCCCGACTGACTCAATCATCCATTCAAGTATATTTATGGCGATATAAGTTATAGAAAAAAAAGAATGACTAGAGGTGGCAGTAGAAACAGAAACTTTGAGAAGATTTGAATTGAGTAGAACCACTTTGACGCTGCAGTAGACAATATAAAGGAAAATTCACTATGGATGGGGTTCACACGATCCTGCCCATCATAATAATACAGTATAAACGGTATCCTTCAGTATTAAGATCATTCGCTAGCGGACTTACGCAAATACCTAGTTTTCAGCTAATTACTTAGAATTAGCAAATCTATATTCTATGGGTCAATGTAAGAAGATTTGGCATTTATCTATCATTGTCCCATGCCGTTGCAGCTCATTTGTGCCAAAACGAGAGGCGCTGCTAAACCTTATCGCCGTAAATAAAATCTTTCCTGCAAATTTTGGCAAAGAATGGAAACAAAAACATAGTACCACTTGTGTGAAATAAGTTTATTTGCTTAGTCAGTCTACACCAGAAGGCGGTTTAGGCTGGACAAAAGGCAACGAAGCCCCTTTTTTAAAATGACTCAAACTTTGGGAAAAAGTACTCTGGTAATACAGGAAAGGAAAGCCTGGGAACAGATACGGTGCTCCTCAATGACTCATTATCAATGACATTGTCTTTCCTGTCGTCAATTGGTGCTTCATCCACTTCAACTCAAATTGGGACCTCTCTCCCCCCCCCCCTTGTCCTCAGAGGAGAATTTGAGATGTGGACAAAGTCATTTGAGCAAATAACAAAATAGTAAGTCACCTAAGGAGGTCATATCCAAGGCAACATTAAATAAGGCCGCTTAAGTTCAAAGAGCAATGTGGACAGATATATTGACCTGGTTACCTGTCCAGCCTCTAATTGGCTCCCACTTGAATGATATATTGAAAATTTCTAATTTATTCATTTTTGTTTGTGAGTTTCGGCTGATGCTGTTGCTGTATTTTGCTGCATATGTCATTGCGTCAGGAAAATGACATTTTCCTTGATAGATTTATTGGATTAATAAGTGAAATTTGAATTAAAATATGTCCAGTTGAACAATGAATCAGTAAAATTTGTAAGATACCTTCAAATTAAATTAAGTGAGAGTTAATAAAATAATGTAATTTAATAGAGTTTAGAATATAAAGTCAGCATACCTTGAACGAAAATAGTGTGAAGAAAAAACGCACTAGAGGAATTCAAAACCTAATTAGATTACATTTATGCCTTACTCAAAGCTCATCGTAGACTTGAATACCGATAAATCAAATCTTATCACCCAATTAAAGGTCTTGATATTAAAACATTAGTTGAATTCATTTATATGAAACCACTAATTCAGCTAAAAGAGATCGGATATTAGAAAAAAAGTTATGCAAAATGAAGTATAGTTATTATCCACCTAGGCAGTTGTCACAGATTCGAAATGAATTGATTAGACGCATCGCTCGACACGATCACTATAAGGCTGTTAGTGCTCGGTCAAAAGAGCTTGGAATTGATTTCCTGATCAGGAATTTAGTTGTCATTTCTTTTCTTTGGGGAGAATGTGAAATCATAGATGTTTCACTTTGAATTCCAAGTTTAGTAGCATTACGCCTCCAGATCCATGGAAAGAAACTAATGCTCCGTTAAACCACCTATGCTTAGTCGCATTGACAGTACACAAACTTTATGCAAGACTGATTGTAGAAATTTTAGATCAAATCTACTGTAAATTAAACACAACATGCAATAAAACTGAATTACTGTAGCAATTTGAAATGTTATCTCAGCGCACTGTTTAAATGCATTCCACTTGCATGTTAGTATTAACAAATGAATGAATTTTCGCATACTTCATAGATGGTTGCAAATCAGATAAAAATATTGGCATTGGACTTAATTTTAATCTTTGTTTAAGAACTCGAATATCTATAGTAACCGTTAACCACTTCAAGCATGAAAGATCCATGGGTCAGATGAAACCTAGAGAACTGCGGTTAGTTCTTCCCAATTTGATATGGTTTACACTAATTTGCAAATAGCGTGGAAAGTCATAAAGTTTGTCATATAAGTGATTGTTTTCCTTAATCAAATAAATAGGACAAAAACAAGCTAGAAGTGAATATAGTGCAAATGTAAAACAAGCTTGAGTAAGACCAACTCAGTTATTATTACCGTCCACAGTAATGCGAAACCCTATAAGTTTACTTGTTTGAGATAGCAGAAATTTTTGTTCAATAGGTGACATGTAAAAGGCCTCGAAGGAACAACAAGCGGGACATCACAGTATCAAAGGCAATCATACTCCATTGGACTTTTAAGTTCTGTTTGTATAATAGTCACAAAATGTATGGATCACGTTCAAAGTGCCACCTTTCACGATTCACCACCTGAGTTGCACCAAATGATCCCCCCCCCTTCCCACGATGTTCAGTGTTTGTGGATTGGTTTTACAATTATTATGGGAGTCTGTCTAACCACAGAAATTCATTTTCTTCAGAATTAGATTACAGAAGGTTGTTAAATTGTTATAAATATTCATGATGTTTTGACCAATAAAAGATTTATTTGATGTCCGCATACATCAACTACACGTTTCGGGACTTTACAGACGAGAGAGAAATGTTCCAAACAGAGAGATTAAAATCGACTCGTGAAATAGACGATGAAGAACATATTACTATAGCCCAAATCTTGGCTCCTGAAAACCGATATCTATTTCCATTTTCACCTAATCCTTTCCAGAACTGATCTTCAGCTGAGGAGAACACTCGCAATTGTCTGAATCCACGATTGATAAATGATAGAGGCATGATAATCGCAACGCGAAATGTATTGATGGGATCAAAATCTTCACATTTCGTCTCTCATATTTCCGGCAAATATCACAGACTCGTATAGATGACCCTTTAGATTTATCCACAGCCAGCATAATTTTGATTCACCTCGATGCAACAATACTCGTTTTAGTCGAACAGGACATACCACGAAGGTTAACTTTCTGGCTAACTTTTTAAGCTCCATAGTGAATTGCCATTCCAAAAAAAGCAGAGAAAGAAGGCAAACGAGGAAGCAGTGAATTACATTCCACACCGTACGACAAACATTTGTACTAAAGGCGTGACAAGCATTGACAGGAAAGACCGTGATTAATGATGCATAGCTTCTTTCTAAAATGAAACATTCCTCCCTTAATGATGGCAGGAAAAGGCAGTGGTTGGTGTAAATGGGTTGCTATTATTATTATTATTAACATTAGGCATTGTAGGGTAATTTTTTGGTCATAGCGAGTGTGCAAACATAAATTTTTGTGTCATATCGCGTATTCATTCCAAACCACATCGGGATTTTGGAATCGACTAGGCATGTGTGGACATTGTAGATCCCTAATATAAGATTTATTTTATTCCTAATCAGCACTGCTTTGAACTTCCGGGTGGCAGATTTTCAAACAATTACATAATTATCCTGTTTCCCCCCATGGCTCGTGCAGTAATCATCCACTGGCAAGAGGTCTTTCAGATTGGAATGCCTATTAGCAAGTAAACAAATTGTTTTGTTTTCCTAAAATAATTCTTTGTTTTGATAAACAATAAATTTAAACAAAGTGCAATAGAAATGACCACTGAAATAATCATTTGAAGAATATTCTAAGCCTTTTTACTTATTTTACAAGTGGTTTTTATTTTAGAATATCAATATGGTAAATGAAGGCGTCTTTAAGATATGAAACTCTTTGAACCTCCTTAGTACAAATATACTAGTAACACGGATTTATTAAATTCATTGAAAATGAAATTAAATTTATTTAAAATGAGAGAAATAAGTAAACATACTGTGAACTGGATTCGCTTCGGATTAGCTTCACGATCAAGCACTTCATTAGATCGAATTTCACCTTTTTCATTAATGGAAAAGAGGTGTTGATGACGTCCAGTCTTGCAGGAAAGAGTGATGTCCACCTCTCCATTTATTCCAGCATCGTTGTCCTGAACGATCACTCGGCCAACCAACGTGCCAGGGGGCTTATTTTCTCGGATCTTAACGCATAAAAAATATTTTGAATTTGAAGTCCGATTATTCTTTTACCTCAAATGAAAGGTGTCAAATTAAAAAGCAGTTTTCAGCACGAATCAGGTCATTTTCGTTGTCGAATGATTCAAATTCTGTCGTTCCATTCTGACCTACATCAAGCAGGGTTGTGAAATGTTTATCGGACCATATCAGCTGTCTTCCTTATATTATAAAAAAAACACGAGAGTGGAATTTCTCGAATATTTATTTCAATAATGAAATTAAGGTTTAACCTTTTATTTTTACTTTAAATAAAGTTTCATTATTGAAATCTTTATTCGATCTAATGCATAACCTTGTTCACAGCACTATTGCTGGATATGGCTTTCTAGAAACGTTCAAATCGTCCTTACCTCCTCTCCTATTTTATGGATACTTTAAGATTACTATCTGGATTTACATTATAGGGTATTCGGTTTTTTTAACAGAAGATATGAGGGAAGAGAGAATGGATATTATCGCTTAGCAAAGAGGCGAATTCAAATTTCCCGCTATCTTACTCGCAAAATGAGAACTGTTTCCTAAAAATGAAAGATTCTCCTGGAATGAAACTATCGAACTGAGTCATCGATGAGGTATTTATTTAAGATCTTAGCCTTCCACCATGAGGTGTATTCTAAAATTGATAGAATTCCGATATCTCAAGTGATCTAATAATCTTCTAACATCTCGGCGAGTAAATATGACATAACTGTCAAAGTTATTCTTAATTTACTATCCTCCCTTTCAAGGTGAAGGGGTCCATATGCAGAGACGAAGTTCAAGAGAGGATTACGTTTTAAATGACAGTTAAAATTATTTGCACCGCTTTTAGGCAATTTTCCTCCTTGTGATAAATCAAACTTGTTCAAATTTTTCCATTGTAAAACGAAAGCTAAAATCGCCTATTTTTCTGTCCCTTCTCCCAATATTTCAAGTATTCTTACTTGATAAAGAACCCGATAGAGAGAATGTTAAATGCGCAAAACTATTTAAATTCTTACAAGTTAGGCGAGTCATTTGACTGAATTCTGCTTACTAACTATCCTTTCAAGTGATTAATTTACATTTTTCGAGGCAAAAGTCCATTATAGATGGTTTTTCGGAATAATTTTGGCTATTAATAATACATGTAATAGAAAATAAAGCGAAGAATTCAAGCAGTGAATTTAGTCAAATGATGTTCCAATTGACTAAGCTAGCCCAAGATAAACCCTTAGCAATTTAATGTGATTTTTTAGATATTGCACTCTTTATGCTTTTAATTATTAAATATCAATGATTGTAAATATTTATTCTTATTTTTCATTGAGAATCATGTGCAATCATAGTCGGATATTCGGTGAAAATAGCAGCTGTTGGTCTTTAAAAGTGAACTCATTTCGTTTCCACCAAAGGAAGGGTGGAAAAAGACTGTCTTTTTCATTTTCATCTTTTGGCTGAAACGGACCAGTTACGACTGGTTGACAAAATGATTCACCTCTTTTCAGGAGATAGCATTAATTGAATCTCAAGTGTTAAATCACAATTAGGAGTTATGTAGAGTAATGTCACGCGTTCACAGTCTCCTACCCAAAGGCAAATAAACTGTCAAAGTGAATTCAAAACAATCATTGCAGAGAGTGAGAGAGAGAGAGGGGGTGGAGAGAGAGAGGTGGAGAGCGAACGTACGAACACGGTTACGGTAGATGAAATGGCAGATTTATAACTTGATATTTTAATTAACCATTATAAATTCACAGATAAAATGAAAATAACTATTTTATTGCTTGATCACCACCGGCAACTCTTGAACTAACGCCCTAGTTATTCAAAATGGGCTCCAATTAATTCATAATTAATTTATTAAAGGATTACTCAATGGGCACTTTAGTAGTTTATTGTAATTAATAATGCAGATATTTGTTATTTCACCCCGGTTGGTCAACTGTGTACTGTCGATATTCGTTATTTTATATACAAATAAGTATAATGATGTTTTGCATATTCATTTCTAGGGTTTATCATTTACTTAAGGGTAAATAACTGGACTAATTTTCATTAAATAGATCACACTGAATTAATCATAAGTTGTCAATTAAAATGACATTTGATGCTAACATTTTGTAATGAATATTTATTTGCAACTAATTTCTAAAATGCACTAAATGAATAATAAAGTTCTGACATTTTTCATTTGGTATTCAACTAATGAAATTTAAATGCTTAATGATTCGGCACAAATTCGTTCAATTTATAAATAACTTAATCTTGCCTTTAAACCTCTAGTTATCAGAAAATTGAATGGGAATAATACTCAATAATACAATGAACTTTGAGCATTTAATCAGCGAAATGGTAAGTATGCAATTTATTTAAACTAATTAAGTCACAAAATCTTTAAAATTATTTCTATATTTGCATAAGATTGGATGGGTCAAGTAATCTGTACCAATATTCTTTTTTAATATGTGACTTTTAACACCCTTACACAATACTGAATGTGATTTTTTGTACTTGAATATTTCTATGCTAACTTATTTAAATCAGCCACACAGAAGGCTGAGCAAATTTAATTACAAAAAATTAAATTTCTTTTTTATAACAGGCCTGTTGGAGTTACGATTTCCAAACTGCGCATATAAAATCTCTAACATGATTCCCCCACCCCCACCCCCACCCCCACCCCCACACCCTCCCTCCCCCCTCCCCCACAGCCACCCATCTCTAAGGCTGTCGATTTGAAATAGTAAAAATAATTCAATCCCAATTTAATTTAGATACGACTTGAACATACCGAGAATTGATAAATTGGCTGTTGAAAGTAAGGCCGATTGTCGTTTACATCGATAAGAGTGATTGGGATAATCTTACTGGATGCCTGTGGAGGATTTCCTCTGTCTACGCATTTTAGTGTGACAGATATTAGTGCTTCTACTTCTCTATCAAATCTCCTTGCTGAAAGAAGTTGGTATACTTTTGTCGCACCGATCCACGGAAGAGCATGAAGAGTAAAATCCGAACTTCCCCCAAGATCACAAAAGAATTCACCGTCTTGATCTGAATCTGGATCTGTGACAGCTACTGTTGCTACCAGTTGTCCAGACGGCATTTCTTCAATCAAATGAAAGGTATCTCTACTGTCTTCAAAAGATGGAAAGAAAGTGGAATCATACAGTCCGTCGGTTTTGAGTGTAGCTGGGGTTAAACTTATTGTTGGTGCGTTATCGTTCACATCATGAACGATAATAACCACAGTCGCAACTGCCGTCAAGGGTTGTGGAGCACTATCCTCAGCAACCATGGAAAATACGTATTCTGCAACACCTCCTGCGTCGCAGTCTAGATTATTCTGTACGATTATATTCCCGGTCGTCGGCTCAATACTAAAATCTCTCCTGACGTATTCCGGTGTTGAGAAGGAAAATCGATAGCGTACTCGTCCAAAGTCTCCTGAATCAGCATCGGTGGCTACTGGATGCATTGGAAGAGCTGAATTCACTGGTATAGATTCGTCGACTTCGATAACAAATTTGGTCCGTTGCTTCTCTTCTTCTGGTAAGTTTTTAAGGTGAGTGAAGATTGGGCTATTATCATTCTCATCTACCAAGTAAACATACAGTCCCGCAATAGTTTTCTGATTTCCTCCATCTATTGCTGCAATCTGCATCTCGTATTCGTCTCTCTCCTCTCTATCTAGCATTTCCAGTACTTGTAGTCTTGGGACGACTCCATTTGGTCCTGTCGTGCAAATAAGAGAGAAACGACCCTGATTCTCCGTGGTGATTAGCTCATAATTGACAATTCCATTTTTTCCATAGTCACGGTCGTCTGCCAATGGAAGGTCAAACAAACTCCTAATAGGTGTGTTCTCAGCTATCAACAGTTCAATCGCTGGCTTTCCATCTTTCGAATTTCGGGGTTTGCTTAGCGCTGATTCTGGCCACCTTGGAATGTTATCATTAGCATCCGTGATTGTTATCCTAAGGCTGAGTACGACTCCATCATGAGCAAACAGGACGCCAGACCAGGCGCAAACCTCTGGCCAAGTTGGCTCTCGGCATAATTTTCTATCATTATCCCTATCTAATAACCGGTTTACCACGACAGTGTTTTGGTGAGATCCAATTAATGAAAAGTAGGTAGTATCTTGGAGAATAAATAGAGGTCCATCTCCTTGTCTTTTAGAAGAACCCGAAATATTCATAGTCTCTAGTGTTCCCACCACATCTCCAACTGACGCGCTTTCAGAAATGAGGAAGTTGATAATGCCCGCATTATGCTTAGATGAAGTCGCAACTGATAAATACACAAGAATGGTGAGTAGATAACAGGAAAGCATTGAACTTCTGGTCTTATTGATGGAAGTGGATGCAAAATTGAAGGGACATGAAAATTAATGGAGTAATTCACAAATTTAAGCATATGACTTTGAGTAGTAGTTTAAGACTCACTGGAAGGAAGCTTATTGAACGAGAGACTAGCCAATCATGTGCGAGCACCAATTCAGGCAAATTCCTTTAGCCAACTGTTCCCCTGCGGTTGGGAGGAATGTCAGATTGTAGTAGTCAAACCATTTGAGCGCCACTTAAGTACCTATATGTACGAATTCTACATTTCACATATTTGTCAACTTACTGACTAGTTGCAACTTACTTTTGCAAACTTAGTAGCCTTGAAGTAAGTAAGGCGATAGCCAATCACTCAGGACGGGACCCTCAAAAAGGAATATAAATTAGTTTAGTCCTTTTTTATTTTATAACAGGCATTCAAATCAGCAATTATTAGATTAATCTTTTAGTTATTACATTTCTACTTTGTGATAGTCTGTCTGATCTAACTTACTGCAAGCATTAATACTCAAAGCGTGGAGATAGTCTGAATGATTGCAAAAAATTATGAATTATTATTTGCAAGTTAAATAATTAATTTTTTCATAAAATAAGATAGTTTTGAGTTAAGTTCGTTATTTTTAAATATTCAACTACAATAAGATGGGATTCTATGTATAAATATAGTGAGAGCTAAATGATCTGACGTTGCTATTCATTTAGTAGTAATATAGATCAAGTAACATGTCTTCATTTGTGTAAGTGATCTATTCATTTAATGAAAATAGATTGCCAAAGGCATCCAGGAGTTTGTCACTTTCAGTTATAGGTGGATCGATAATTTAGCCCTGCAAATATAATTAAGGGCTTTGTAATCACCTACGCAAAGTTATAGTCAATTAAATTTTAAATGGTCCCAATATATGATATGTAAAATTGACACATTTGCGTTGTCTGCTCTCAGACAAATCAGAACTAATTAGGAAAGCAGAATTTAATGCATATATTCGTCAAATAGCTTATTTTTCCCACACCCACATGGAGAGCTATTCACTAACACAAGCATTCCTACGAATTTGGGGGTTAAAGAAATACATTTTGCAGCGCAAATTGACGCGAAACGCTCACTTGTCTTGAACGAAATTTTCGTTCTTTACTTCGCCTTAATTCCAAGCATTTTGTATTGAATCAAAATAGAGCCTGTTCCCTATGTTCAAACTACTCAGAAATGTTTACAAATAATCATATAATTCTATCCCACTAATGTCATATGAGTGACTTATTTTGGAAATCGTTTAATTGCAAAAATAGGTATTTTTAATAATATATATGTATATCGTTATATTAATAAACGTCACTGGCTTTAAACGGATCCGAACACACATTCATATCTCAATACGCGGGAGGTTTAGGCAAAAAGTTCTCCCATGAATGAAGTTCCTCTTTTTGCCTATAACATTCCACCTTCAACATTTTGCACATACTTAAACTCCCCTATCTTGATGTCACATGACGTTAAGCTGGAATGCCGAAAGCCGACAGGAGTCTAAGGAATTGAATAAATGAGCGACGAGAACTGACTGACGTTACAGACGATTTTACTTCAAGTGTTCGGCTGTCAAAAGGGAAGGTCTAAGTTGTTGTATCGCAACGACTTTTACAAATATGAATTCTCATAATTTTCTATTTGTTTAATAGGTCTATTGCATTCTGTAAATACGTTGGTAGCTGAAATACTATTGCATATTTTGATTGAATGAGTTGGGTTAGCTATTTTGAATTGGTCGATTTGTGCTATCTGAAATTTCTAGCATACAATAACTTATCTCTCTGCCACTCAAAATTAGCGATTAGCAGTGTTGTAGCAATCTCTCACCTTCCGTTTATCACCGAATCGAGTTTTATTGATTTTTGGGATGTCGTATTAAGAGAATTCAAGCGAATACGAACCCTCGCAATCGCGAACCAACATCGAGCGTAACTAGTGTTAAATGTTAGCTCTGAACAAACAGAATGCTCACAAATAACGTGCACCTCTTGGAATTTGTTAAAAAAATTAACCCGTTTTAAGGTTGGAGTCTTCAAATTCGCCTCTGCTTCTCCCTCCAGGAAAATTTATATTGAAATCTATGTACTCTCTGCCCCGATGTTATCTCTGTTACAACCAAATAAATGAGACATTATGGTTCTTGCTGATTAGGGTTTTGGATCGCATCTATTATGCCTAATAATAAACTATTGCAAATGTGACTTTTCCCATGCAGCTCATATTCTCTCCATCTACGATTTCTTCCTCCGCCTGTACTTAACTATTTCCTATGCTCGAGCATAACAACTATGGCACTGCGGAGCATGAGTCATGTGAGAGTAAAAAGCGGCAGCGATGTCTGATTAAATGATTTGAGGTCATTTGGCTGGTGCATTATTGATTAAGCATTCTGTCAGGCAACCAGTCGTGCAAACATTCGGCATTTTACCTGGTAAACGTATGGGAAATAACATTACACCCTCAATTAAGTAGTATTTCGCACCACTGCGAAGACTAAAAGGAAGCATGAGAGTCTTTCCTGAAAGAAGGATACTGGAACTCTTTTGAACTACGTCTTATTTGCTTCCAAAAAAATAGATCTCTTGGATACCTATTGTGAACTCTTAAATCAGAGTTTAAAAAGAAGTATTTATTCAATTGTTATTTTGACCTAATTCAGTTTTGCTTAATTACTTATCACAGCTTAACCTAGGAGGTCGATATTGAAAAATTTGGTGTGGAAATCCTTCATTTACTCATTCATTCATAAACCGTTATTCTAAGAACTCGAAGCTAAATATTTCAGTGCTCCCAAGTGAACTTCATCATTCGTGCATTGGACTATTGATTATTGCATCTACACGGCTATCAATGAAGCCACGATTCCGCTGTGAAGATGTGGTTTTTTTTGCAGTCGACACAGCAACTCCCCTATTCCCTCTGCAGTTTACGTTGTTCCATCCTTTTAAAATCCTATCACCCTATGAGAAGAGTAAATTCATTCAACTATAATAACCACGTGCTGGTGCACCCTGGGCAACGTTTACTAATACGGCAAAAAAGTATATAAATCGGCTGTTGACTTCTGACTTCAAACTACCATCACCCCACTCTATATCATATTCCACAACTTTCACAGTACTCACCTCACCTTTTTACTACCTTTGTGTCTGTCTGTCTCTTCTACATCTGTGAATCACTCTTTTACTCCCCCTCTCGAATTTTCCCACTTTGATGTTCCTCCATCTGTGAAGCCCGAAGTCAGCTAAATGGCTAGTGATAACTATTCAAAACGCCTACCATGTGAAATAATAATAATAATAACCACGAGATAAAAAAATTTATCAATATTTTATAACGGATGAAAATAATCTAATCCAATTTGCTGTATCTTATCACTCCAACGAGTAGGACTTACTTCAATTTCTTCACAATTTGAGTTGCCTGAACCACTCTGAAACGAAGCAGGTATTTTACAATGAGTGAGATGACTCACTTTCTCTCTTAGTTTGAAAACGCGTTTATTATTTTCCATGAGTTTTAATTACCTGTCACTGGCTATAAAGTCTAAAATATATTTTGGACCTACTATGATGTCATACCAGTGATTACAAAAGTACATCATTAATTAAAATTACACTTGTTAGGGACAATATACACTAACGAAATATCTGTGCTAGAATTTTGCCTTCCTAACTATTTTAGTACACGTTAAATAGGGCGGCTGAATACCGATGCACATCTGTAAGGTCTGGATTCATAGTTTCGATGCCCACTGATATAATGAAGGATCAAAAGCGATCTTTAATCTCACTGAGTTCGCCTATGAGTTACTTCCCTTTATAAGTTCAAACGGTATCAAAGAGTAAATTGAAAGTATAACCTTTTCTAGATCAGAAGAACGAGATGCGAGATAGACAGGTGCCTTAACAGACTATCACAAGATGGGAGAACTAAAGGAACTGCTGTGTTTGCGTTATTGAGACTGGAACCTTCTTAAAATCATGTAAGATCATTTAATCTCCTTGACCATAGACGGAAACTATGCTCAATATGCACTGGATAGTGCAGACAAATATTTATTACCGCCTAATTGACGAGTATTGAAGTTATAATTCTGGAAAAAGAAGCCTCTCATGAGCTAAATTCGTACAATCCGGATTCAAAAGATCTAATTTAGTCAGACTCTTTTATGCCTTGGCACTGCTCCCTAAATCACTTTGCCACTTTTGATGAAATCTTTTAGTTATTTCAAACAAAGAAAATTAAATGTAAAATAATTGTTATTTCTCAAGAATTTTGATTAATGTATTGCATCTTATACAAGGTGGCGAATGTGTAATATTTGTGTATCAAAAGTCTAATATTTTTTAAATTATTCATTTATTTATGTAAAGGGAAAGGTTTTACTAATCAAAATTTACTATTCAGATTTCTACCTTAGGCCATTTGACAGAGGTTAAGGAATTAAAGGCTCTATGAAAATTTTGACATTTAAAACCATATTACCACTCAAAGTCATTCTTAAGAAATTGACTCACGTTATCTTCCCAAGTGGCAAAATTTATAAAGTACACACTACTCTTACCTTTTCCCTTAAAGTACTCTAAATAGCTTAGCATGTACTAAGTATGCAATGCCTTACATCGGCATGCCTTTTATACCTTATGGACGCGCGAACTTGAGGCATGCAGTGAAAAGAGAGAATAGGAGCTACCAAGGTAATAAAAGGGCTCAGAAAAGAAGAAGTGGTAGGAGGTGAGCTCACATTTGCTCTCAACTACGTTTGAGTGTGTGTGTGTGTGCGTGTAATGGCTTTTGATATGTGGGTTTTTCTTCTTTTTCTTACTTCTCATCATCCCCTTAACTGCTCACTGCTTTAATTAGCTTGCTTTTGGAGGTGGAGTAAATTTGGAATAGTCGTTTTGCGGTGTATTGGGTAAGAGAATTAGAATTTTTATGCGTTTTGTAACAGTACTAGGT